TAGGACCAATAAGCAACAAGTGTGCTGCAGAAACTGGACAATGGACATAAAGTGAGAAATTTAACTGAATTTGGAAAAACCAACATAAAGCAGAGCACTGCTACATATGGAAGAATCTTAAAGCTATAACGCAAAAACAATTCTAATCTTTCACGTTTTGATGAAGCACACCCATAAAGCATTGACAGTGCTGGTGGAAAAAGTAAGTGGGTTTAATAACTGGTCAAAGTCCAGCGTTTCCTGTGGCTGTGGATTAGGACTGCACCACTTCCCAGAGGAGAGCGACTGTCCCCGGCAACACCGTTCCCCAAAAACTGCATTTCTATGCAACTAAACTGCATTTTGAGGCGAACACATTTTCTCCTGGTGAGATAACAGCAGGTTACGATGTCGTAAGAAAAGTCAACGAGCCACAAAATCCACATCAGGAAGGAGTCGCGGTGGCGTAAGTCTGACTTTCAACCGGAGACTCGGTAATTTATGTCCTGTGTAGAACCATTACTTCTTGTCCTAAGTTTCGTTTTCACTTGGTAGGTTCGGGGACTTGGTAAGACTTACGAAAATATCATGCTTTGAACTAAAATGGGACCTTTCACAACGTTAACCACACGTTGGAAGCTTGGTTAGGTTCAGACACCAAAACTACTTGGTTAGGTTTTAGGAAAATATCCTGGTTTGGATTAAAATACATCTTTTCACCAAATCGTTGAAGCTTCTCGTCTGACTTTGACGCGTCCTGTCTCATCTAATAGACGAGTGGTTGGCTGAAAAGGACCAACAGCTGGAAAGCAACGCAAGAAATGGCAAAGACAAGTTGATTGGAAATGTGTTACCACAATTAAGCTGTACAGAACTATAATTTTTGAGAGACGGAGCGTTCTAAAGAGGTTCTCCTAACGTCATTCCACACTATCTCTGTTGGATGAAGGTCTGAGCTCTGACTGAGTCACTCCAAAAGTTAGATTTTCTTTGTATGAAGTCATTCTGTGGTCGACCGTCCTTCTGCACCACTCGGCTTCTACTGAGGTTCAGCTGGATGGCAATAAATTATCTCTGTTTATAAGTAATTGGACTGAGTGTAGACTGATGAACCTCTACACTCAGTGAGATTACCTCACACCGGCTTCCCTCTAACACAAAATAGCAAGTCTTGGTTATAAGTAATCTGAGATCTCTTTTTGTTTTGTTGTTTCATGAAGATGATTCATATCTGCAGACGCCTCTTGTCAGTAGCAAACTCAAAATGTTTGACAGGTTTTTCTGTTGTTTGTCTTTTGGTTGTGTCTCTAACTCACACCTCTAGCTGTATTGTATTGATTGGACTGCAGATCTGCTAACTCCTGACTCCGATTAGCTCTCGTTGCAGTCATTAGCCTGGGAGTTCACACTCTCTTTCCAACCAACACTGGAGCGTATGAACTTGCTCATTTTCTCTTGACACTGTATCTCCACAATAAAATGAAAGATGGTTGAAGAAAAGCTTCCCCCGCTGCCTGGCGAGTGCATCGTCTCCACATGAGTGAAAACAGGCATCCCATTGGAGCACACTGAATTTTAATCAAGCAGAGATGTTTTAGCAAATGGACGTTTCAGACAAAGACCACATAATGTTGTCTTCTAGTGGGAAACTGAGGAGTTTCACTTGTGTCTTGTCACTTATCTGCTTTTGAATCAATCATGCTACTAACGCCGCCCTCTGCAATGTTTCTAGAAAAGGCCCGCCAGGCCTGAGACGCTACACCAACCATCTGAACAGTTTCTATCTGTTGCTCCTGTCACATTTATACTCACCGTGGGTTCATTTATCACTGCAATATAAAGTTCTATGGACGCAGCACAGCCATGGACGGGAGCAGAGGAACCGTAATGATGCCGTACATGATTTAAAACATGAAAGTCACATTTGTGCATTTCTTTGATTATTCATTTTAAAGAAAAACCTGGAATCAACATGTATCCATGTATCCCTAAGTGTTCACATTATTTAACCCTGTTTAGGACTGTTGGGCTCATTTGGACCCCAGACCATTTGGTTCAGGTGACAGGTATGGTTTTTTAATTATAAAAACAGGGACATTTGTCAGCATTTGGAACCAAAAATACGTCAACTTATCAGAAAATGTATGTAACACAGTATAAAAGTAAAAATAAAATGGACAAATATTTAGCACATTGGACCCCAAGAAAGACCTTCTACATATGGAAACATGAAAGTTCTGAATAATTAAATAACAATTAAAAGAAAACAAATGGTGACTTTACACACTGTAGATTTTTTTTACTATTTCCATCTGTATCTGCAAACACTGCCTGCAGTTCAGCCCAAAAACTCGCTGCATTGTTGTCACTTCGTCTGAGAAGTGCATCCTTTTTTGTTTTTTACAGACTCTAGTTAGAAAAAAAAGGATTATTTTGGCCAAATATTTATAAAGACACAACTTCAGGTAATGATGAGTAGCTCATGGAACGGAAAATAATCAAAAAGTCAAAGATTCTTCCTGTTTCTTCAGTTTCTGGTTGTGACAAATGGTGCAGTTATGGTGGTTGTTAAAGACAATACGCCTTCCGGACCTACCAGTGGGATGTAGGGTTCAAAGGGTTAATCATGTCGCCCACTACCCTCCGTTTGAGACGTTAACCAACAGGTGGCAAACCACTTTAAAAGCCACAGCTCAGTCTAGCAGCTGCCCCCCTCCACCCTCCATCCTCCATCCTCAGTCCCACACAGAGCAGATCACAGCTCTCCTGCATTAAGTGCGAAGATGCCGCGAGGACAGTTTGTCGCTTTATTCATACAGTACACCAAACACTGTGAAGCTGTTTTATGTGGCGACAATGGAGCTCATTCAAGGTTGTCGCCACACTGGGGGTCTGTGCCGCCCTTTCAGCCTGCTCTCCAGATCCAGGCCCGGGCTTCGGCCTTTTTCTTTGGCTGCCTGTTCGGATACAGAGATGCATCAGTTTCCCCCCCACCCCCTCCGTCACATTTACGACATTCACGCCGTAGAGCAGAAAGACCAACTGGAGCGAGTGTGGGTGGGAAGTGAATAACGCCATAAAGAAATATTAGCTAAAAGAACAATCTCTCCTTGTGTCTCTGAAATGGGATCCACCTGGTCTGAAGCTCCGACTCCTCTCATAAAGATAGCTGCACAAGTACAGACACACGCAGTAGTCGCTGTATAGACCTCGCTTGGCTTCCACCGTGTGTCGTGGCTCATTAATTCATCAGGCGCTGCATGTATAAATACTGACACAGCTGCACCACGCTCACCCTCAGGTGGTTTTTCTTTTTTAGACTCTTTCTATCTTTTCATCTGTCTTTGTCTCCTCTTTGCACAGTTTTGGCGAGGAATGCCGCCGAGGCTTGTGTGTCTGCAGCTCCTCCAGGAGGCACTTCAGGTCACGGCAGGGCGAGGATGCACAGAGGCAAACATCGCTGCTCCTTCCTCCTCCGTCATCCATCACGGACAACGACCTCCAACCCCCACCTCCCGCTAGCCTCCTGTGTGTGCTTCTCATTAGCGTTTTGGATAGAGGATTGGAACTAATTTTTTCCAGGGCACAAGGCTCGTAAAAAGCTGACAGCTGCCCTCCGCCCCCCCCACCACCCACAGAGAGAAGGAAAACGAAGTTAAAGAGCCGCTGTACACCGTACTGTACTCATTGACCCCATTGTCCTATGATAATCGTAGCGGAGGACGAGAGCCCGATGGGAGCATTCGGCTTCATTAAGAACTATGTGACTGTTGGTAACGTCCGCCTGCTGCCCCGCACATGATTCATCGCTAATCCGTGATTTGATAACTCTCACTTCACTCTGCACCCGACAATATTGTATTTGTTCTACAGATCCGCGAGGTTTAACCTTCAGGAACTACAGAAAGGCAATGCAGGCTCTGGTGACGGGGCCTTTGGCCTCTGGTGGCCCACTGATTCATGATCTGTCCGGACGCCTACGGGAATACCAGAGACGTGTACAAATTACACTGTAAAAAAATAAATAATTCTTTTACTGAAGAGACTTTTTTTCTCTGTGTTTAAAAAAACCCACAAAAACATTGATAAAATTATGGAAATAAAATAAATTCATACATATTTTTACATTTATTATATATTTTTTATTCTATGTAAGCTAATAAATTGTTAAATTAAATTTCTAAAATTGGACAGAGTTCGTACCAATTAACAGAAAAAGCATCTGGTTCTGTGATTTCACATAGATTTGGTTCCTGAGTCAGAGATGTGTCGTATTGTTACAAGTTCTTGTCATCGATGTACTTAGAAGCTTTGGTAATCCATTTAATTAATCTATCCCCCCTTTAATATTACATATAATAGGTAATTTTATTGCTTTTACTCATTAGAAATTTCCTCCATTAATCATTTAAAAGCCAAAAACGACACAACCTCAGGTACAATTAAGACCACAAAATGTAGTTTAACAATGGAAAAATAACTGTATTTTTATGGGATGGTTATTATTTTCCTGTTTATTTATTTATTTAGTTGGTTGGTTAGTATATACCAGGAGCCATGACTTGTGGCAGCTCAGAGCAATTCAACACTTGGTTGTTGGTTTTTACTTCTATTCATCATCCATCTGAACTTAAGAGCCACAGGTCACCACAGGTCAGGAGGATAAAATGAAATGAAAGTCAATGTCACACCTGAACACAGCCTCAAGTTTATCATTTGAGACTGTGTGTGTGTGTGTGTGTGTGTGTGAGTGTGTGTGTGTGTGTGTGTGACTGACGGACAGACTAACTGGACTGTGGGTATGCATCGGTATGTAGCTAAATGGTTAATTGGATTACTGTGTCACAAGATCCACGGACTGGCCTGTGGTTAGGAACAGCTGCACGACTGTTTTTCTGAGGACGACCGTCTGATCAATACTGTAATAAACAACCTGAGACATGTGCTGTTCCGAAAAGAAGCTAAACAAACAAACAACAACACAAACAACCCTACATGAAGCAAACTATGGTACTGGTATATGCAATCTGTAAGATCCTGTTTTCTACATAAACGTTCCTTCATCTAGTAGATTTGTACGAGCAGTAAACAAAAGCTGAGGATCTGCACCACAGGTCTCCACAGATTAAAACATATTTTACGATTTTGGGGTATAAACACATGCAAGTAATAGAAGCTAAAAGCTAATATGGTGCATTTTAGAGCTGAGCAATTATGCAGTGTGATTTATATGTGAAGCTCTGAGAAGCCCTTTTGTTTCCAGAGATGTCATTTTCTGCATGAATCAAAAAAAAAAATCATTCAACGGGAACTAATTACTGTAATGGGGATCTGGTGAAGGAGGCCAAAGTCGCTATCTGTTCCCACAAGAAGAGCAAATACTATATTTACACCCAAACCAAACCACTGTCAGACATCTATGCTCTTAAAATGTGGAAGTATTCAGTTAAACTATAGGACAAAACACACACACACACACACACACACACACACACGAGCAGCAGCTGCCCCCCGTCCAGGAACTGGCTAAAGCATATGACCATGTACATCAATTAGCCACCTCATTAGCCGGGTTGATTTGTTTTTCCTCGGTGCAAAAATAAGTCACTTGTTGTTAATTCACAAAGTCACGACCTTAAAAACCTGCAGAGCCACCTGAGTCTGATCGCTGTTATCACCATTTTTCTAATGTAAAATGTGGATGCTAATATTAAAAGAAAGCAGAACGTTAACAAAAATGTAATCTTGAAAAAGACAAAATACCAAAAAAATGCAAAAACACTGGAACAAGTGGTTCATGTGGAGAAATGTGAGAGAAAAAAACAACCAAAAAAGTTCAGTTTGAAGATAACTTCACTGCGTTTGTGCAGGAATGTTTTTGCCAGATCAGTCCCGAATAATTCCTTCAGGCTCTGGAATTTTCCCCTCGGTGTCGGCCTGCTCCAGGAATGCTACAGTAAGTTTTGGGAATTTCATAAACATGTATTTAGAGCCTAGAACATTTCATTTGCTTTGTGAAACTGGCAACCTAGCTAAGTAGAGCTTAGGAAAGCACACATCCCAAAATAGGCCCGAGGTGGGAGCGGAAAACCACACAGGAATGGCTGTTGAGAGGAAAAGGCCAAGAGGATCGGCGCTGAGCTGAAGCTAAGGGGCCTTTCTCTGCTTTGCTGTGGGACACGGCTCGGAGCGAAGATGGAGGGTTACAGTCGGAGCTGCTGCCATGGAATGCTCGACAAGTATGTGAAGCCAGATTACAGGTTCCTCGTCTTGTGAAGACTAAACTTTCACATCTCTAACCACATCCTGCTGTAGTTTCTGTCCGCCACAGACGGAAACCTGAGCATGAAAGGTGTGAGCCTCCTTCAAGTCTCTCCTGAGGTTTTTTTTTTTAAATAAAGAGCGCATTTAAAAATTAAAGTCGATGGAGAAAACAGAAAGTTTGGATCGATTGACTGAGAGATCACATGACAGCCTGCATTGCAGTCAAAACTTACATAACTCCGGCCTGAGCCAGCTGTGTCAAACACACCCAGCTAAAGGCAGACACATGTCTACGGTTACAGGCCGCACTAAACATTTGCACCATAATAGACAGCATAAGCAAACAAAGTCAGTGTGCATGAGTTACAAGCACTACACGCGTTTCTGTATGTTTGTCTGTGGAAATGCATGTGTGTGTGTGTGTGTGTGTGTGTGTGTGTGTGTGGTCAGCCAACCCTTTGATTTGGCCTGTAGGAGTGGCCCTCCATTAAGAACCGTAGCTCGACCCATCTCCGTAATTACAGAGGGGAGTTGAGCTGGGGGTCAGGGTCTCCACCCACTGCGCCCTGCTCCACATCACCCCTCAGTCACCGAGGAATCAACAATGGTCAGACAGCTTTGTGATATAAATACAGAGGCAGTGCCACTGCTATGTTATTGCAGGTGCCCGAAGACCAGAAAGCCAGCAGGGAGGCTAATTTGTGGACTTAATGCTGCCCTAAAATTGTGGTTTCTGAACTGCACTACAAGGATACGCAGCGATACAGATTTGCCGACTGCAGGATGACTGTCAGTGTGTCATTTGCGGACACCGGTGGTTGCCGTCGTGTACGCTGCACGGCAGGGATGTGCCGCTAAAGCGATGACCCAGCGGAGCGGTGTTTGATGGCCGAACAGCCAGATGCCAACAAAGTCAGAAATAGAAGACGGAGTTTGCGGAACAAGGAAAGGAAAAGCTTTATCATTTCCAATACTTCTGCGAATTAGACCTCATGACTCATAGAATTCACGAGATCCACGAGCATACCTGGACCGCCACGTCGAGAGACTCAAGAGGAAACTCCGACTCTTTCTGATAGATGGCAGCTGATAAGCTACGTGTTCAGCCCGCGGCGCGTTTCAGAATCCATGTTAAAAATAACTTTGAACTGTCTCTCTCAAACTATCATCTGTGGATTTTACACTTGTCAAAGTACATTAATTTACAGGACCAGAGCAGTCATTTGATGTCTGGAAACTTAACGGGGAGACGGAGCAGTCAATGAGACTGAATGGAGACAAGCAAAGTGGATAAAATCAAGCGAGGCAACTCAAGCATGCAAAGTGAGCAGTGCTCTGGCTTCTCCTTCTGGAAGCCCCAAAGGCCACAGTGCTGCAGGACTCCTCAACTCCAAAAAAAAAAAAATTCTGCTCATCTCTTTCAGAACCACATTTCACAGACCGAAGCAGAAACCGCTGTAGTTAATTTCATTTAATTAATGAGGTGTTGCTCTCAGGCTGACAGCGACTGCACCTTATTATCTGCACTGATTTGTGCATAAAAACAGGTATGAATCCTGACCGTGGGAGACCTCCCTCCATCCGGCGGGCTGTCACACAGTTTACGAGCTCTGGCTGCGTTCGGAAACCATGTAGCTTTGAAATGAAGAAATGAACCATGAAGTAGAAAATTGGACAAATCTGACGCCGCAAAGTCAAACTGGGCGATCACTCAGCAGCTAGTGAGGAAGTGGTGTGCTCTTCCTTTAATATGATATCCTGTCAGTGATGATGGCAATATGGCCACAGTGAGAATGACAAAATGCTGTTAATCACAGGATGTGATGCTCTCTGGGACTTCTGCCGACTGTCTGCTCTGTCAGCTGAATCTGAATCAGTCACTTCCCCTTCAGAGAGCACCACAGTGCTGGTGCAGTTTGTACGTACCTTGTCTCGCCTTGTGGACATGTGGGCACGACACCAGATGTCTTGCTACCCTGTCCTTATGGATAAAGAGCCTGCCGGTGGCCAATTTGACTGACCAGTGATTTTTTCCATACACCCCTATAAAAGAAGTGAAATGGAGGGGACCTTTTAACTTTTAGGCTGGTGGAAAGTTAATTCAACAGTAATATCCATGTGGGCAAGGGGAGCTACACATACACACCTATAAAAATATACAAATGAAAGCTACACATATTTGTTTATCACATCCATGTAATGATAAATAACCAACATTTTTTTGGATTAAACTGCACATTATCTTGTCAGCAACACAAGATGTTATGAAATAAAGCTCGAATTCAGAGCCGAAATTTGCCAAAGTGTAATTCCTAAATACTTTAACGCTATAAATAATGGTACACCCATGTTCAACAACAACAACAACAACAGCCAGCCCGTTAAAAAAAAAAAACAACCGCGACTGGGCAACTACTCAGCCTGCGTTGCTTTACACCAGCTCGGAGCTCGTAAAAAAACACTCGCCAGATGTGGAAATGCATCATGCACAAATGGCCCCGCAGCTACACAAAAACACCACTGGTGACATCTGTGCCATGCACAACGGGGAATGGAATGAAAAGAAAAGTCATGGTTTTTCTAGAGTAAATTAAATAGTTGACTTGTTGTGAGATGTCACACAGCTTGCACCCATAAATACTCATCGTTGTGCCCGTCATCTGGCCTGGAATGGTCGCCAAGCTGGCTTTATCGGTGGAACTGTAAAATTTGAGTGTGGTTGTTTTTGGAAACTGGAATTTGGCAAATTTATCAGTGCGGCACGGAAAACTCATTCATCAGAACTCGTAATGCTATTTAAGCGTAAATTAAAACGATTGGCTGATAGGTCGGTCGATATGCTCAAAGCAAACCTAATTCCCATTGGTCTGGCAATCGGTGTTACTCTGATGAGGAGGAAAGTGCTACATGAACAATCTGCTCTCACAACTTTAACCTCACACAACCTAATGCTGGGTTTTTAGCGTTTAGTGAACGTTTCCTCAGAGTTAGCCCCAAACTTACTGACACCATGTAGAAGCGGTTGCTGGTGGGGCAGCATTTAGTAAAACGATTAGCCAATAAACTCGAGTGTAAATTTTGCAAACAGCAGTTCGCAGTTTGCAACCAATAAGGCCCATCCATCCATCCATTATGTATACACCACTTAATCCTCACTAGGGTCATGGGGGGCTGGAGTCTATCCCAGCCGACTTAGGGTGAAGGCAGGTTCACCTGGACAGGTAACCAGTCTATCACAGGGCTACACTTAGAGACAGACAACCAAGCACACTCACATTCACACCTACGGACAATTTAGAATCACCAATTAACCTCAACATGTTTCTGGACTGTGGGAGGGAGCCGGAGAACCAGGAGAGAACCCACGCTGCACGGGGAGAACATGGAGACTCCACGCAGAAAGGTTCCGGTGCCCCCACCGGGACCCGAACCGGCGACCTTCTTGCTGCGCCACCCTGCAGCCCCCAATAAGGCCCAGCATCAGCTAACTCGTTATGAGCTATACTCCTCAATCGTTTTTGTTCTTGGATCGCCAGTTGATCTGATGATGGCAATCCTGTGAATATTGGCAGGTGAGCGCTGGTTGGCGGTTACTTCAGTACAAAAGGATTGAATCTTCTGCAGATACCAGCTTTTTGTGTTTAATCCAGCCATGAAATTCAGATTTTTTTGCCTCCAACTAGTTGGTCGTAGGTGTGATCTGACTTGACCAAGATTTTCCAGCTCTAATTAAAACACTACCAATAAAAAAACAAAATAAAAATTCTGTTGTTTTGTCACAATAGTTATTGACAGGATTTCCAGTGGGAGCTGAAACTGTAATACTCTTTATGTTTAGCAGCACATCGCCTCAGTCTGCAGAAGGGACAGAAGGCTCTGCTTGAAGCGAGAAAAACAGCCGCTTTAATTGTTTGTTTACAATACAGCTCGGTTGGCCCTGAGCCTGGACCCGACCCAATCGGCTTCTTTTTTTTTTAAAAAGTGCATATTTTTGCAACATGGAAAGGCTTGTTTATGGCTCTGAAGTCTGTCACTGTGTTTATCTCACTAAATCTCCCTTCTCTGATAATTGTTATCCTTATGATCTGTGCGAGCTGATGAAAAAAAAAAAAGTGACTTTTTCTGAACTACGTGACATGAATGTTCACTTTCTCCCATTTCTTGCTGAGGCAGAAACATTCCTGCCTGAATCTAACTGGCAACCATCAGCAAGAATAATAAAAAACAACAGAAGAAGTGGAAAGAGAATACAACGTGTTATCACAACTCCTGTCATTATAAGAATATGAAGTGAAAGCAGACAGCCGGCTGCAGAAGCTCTAAACATCCAACACCCATGTTTTGGGGTTCGGTGCTGCTGCTGCTGAGTCACAAGTGAAGCATGCTATAGATAAATCTGGAAAAACACAAAGAACTGGGTGCGTACTCATGCTTTCGCTGCACAATCATCCGACAAACTGGGTATTTTTGGACTGCTGGTGAACCATAACTCAGCATCTATTTTGTGTTTTTGCTGGCATGGCATGATGTTAACCATGAAAGGTTCTTTTTCCAGCTCCTCTAAGACCGAACTAGAAAAAAAGAAGCAGCCTTTATGAACGACCTTTAGGGTTAGAAAGTTCTGCTGTTACACGCCGAGCGACTTTTATATGCCGAAGTGCTCCACACAAATTCAAAAAGTGGTTCACGAGCCTTAAGCCTGCAGAATTCCTCCCACTGTGTGTGTTTTCACACTGAGTGTCAGCTATCTGTTTGCTTTAGGTTTTATGCTTGGATGTGCATGTAGCCACCAGTTGGAACTGCACCGAGAAAACGAGCTGCAGCCTCAGAGCCGAGGGCGAATCGCAAAACACAAAAACAATCACATTAAAGTGAAGGAAAAGAGAATCAATTAGCCAACTATTAGCCTTATTGGTTGAGATTATTAATACCATTTCACTGATTAAACATGAAGGAGGAGCAGCAGACAGTTTCAGATGGAAGCAGAGGGAAACAACACACCTCGCCCGATCCAAAGCTTAACACAAATCTCCCTTGCGGCATCTTTAAAGTGAACTTACTAAGATCGAAAGGTGCAGGTTGACTGTGTTGCCCGTGGACTGAACCGGACTCGCTGCTTCTTATGTTTGTGCAGAGCTAAGCTCATCAGCTGCTGGCTGCGGTTGCACATTTAGCATAGAAACATGACAGCGGTATTGATTCTCTCATCTAACTCTTGGCACGAAAGCAAATAAGCACATTTCCCAAAATGTCCCAACTATTCCCTCGACCGCTTATTTTCTCTCGGCTTCCTTATGGCTTCTTAAGCTCTAAATTATAAGGAGAAAAACAGAGCATGCACGCTCGTGGACAAACATTCACGCACACATGCAGAAGGTCTGCGGCGCGCTGCGTAAATCACCTGCTGCCCTCTGGGAGTCTTTGGGGGTGTGGATAAAGTTCTGGATGGGAGAGAGGAAAGAGGCAGAATGGGGGCAAAGGAGGGGAAGACAAAACGCACATGAAGGAGGGATCAGAGGGAGCTGGTGAATTACTACAGTGAACCAGAATTCCTCAGAGTTTGTCATGTGACATAAGAAACAGACTCGCGGAAAAAAGAAAAAAAAAAGAGCAGCTGCTGTAGTCTACAGCACACTGAGGAAATGAAAAGAAGGAAAGTCAAGGGAGGGGAGGCAAAGAGGGAAGGAGTCGGTGAGAGTGAAGCAGGAACAAATTGTTATCTAATCAGTTTGTGAGCCCTCTGCAGAGGTCAGCAGAGGAAGATGAATTGCAATATCTGGCAGCGAGAGCGTCTTCAGTGGCCTGAAATTCCTTCAGCAGACCGAAACATAATGATTCCAGCAGGAAGCCCGGATTCATGCACACACAGATACAGCGCTGTATGTACGGTAGTGGTACGCACACAAAGCAACGAAAAAAAAAGTAGTTTCCCAAAATGCCCAGAGGCTTTCTTTCGTGTATCGATTTTCAATGCAATTAAAAGTGCAACGTCAGGACAGTTAACTAAGTCGTGACACAAAATGATGATGATTAAGCGGTACGGCGGCCACGGAGGGCGATGGAGGCTCCAGGATCCATACAGCTGTGAGAAAGATCTTGTGGACGATGGCGGGAGATCTACCTCTGTGTACTGTTTAAAAAGCCACGACAGAGCAGCAAGAATGCGCGCGTCCGTGTTGCGTACGTGTCGACACGTGCGCGCCGAACATTCACACTCACAAGAATCTAATGTCTAATGTGTCTCTGCAGCAGCGAAAGCCCTCATCAGACTTTCCTCGGCAGCGAGCACGGCAGGGACGGTGCTGCAGCTTGGCCCTGCAGAACAAACAGACCGCATAAAGAGAGCCTGTGTGGTGCTAAGTCTCACACTGGAGTGAGGGACAGAAGAGAGAAGGACCGAAAGGGAAGGAGAAAAATAAAGGTTTTTGCAAAGCGCGATGCTAAAAAGTGGGAAATGATGAAATGGAATGAGAGACTTACAGCTCCCGAAAAAAAATAAATAAATCTGAGGTTCTTGTAATAGCTTTCTGGATAGCCTTGTCAAAACTGAGACCATGTCATAAAATATTTCCAGAGGGGGGGAAAAAGTGAGCGCTCCACACAATGTGTGACTGTGGTCCACTGAAGCATGCTACTTTTCTCATGGGCCCCAACGTCAGAGCTTTATAGGACTTTTACACTGTTCTGTTTGACACAGAGAGGTGTGATTTCAGCACAGAGATGATCCATTCCAGACATCGGGTATATTATTGCCACACATAGAGGTCAGGCGGCGTCACTGGCTGTCAATTAAAGAGTCGTATGAGCCACGCAGGACATTCGTCTGCTATCAAAATGGTAATGAGGCTTATCAGAGGGTTAAAATAATAAATCCAGGTCATGTAATTTGTGAAAAGCGGTTAAAGAATGTGTAACAGAGATTTGCTGAAGAATAAAGAAAAGCTAAATATAAGAAATTATAAACAGTAAAAGACCAGAGCCTTTATCAGCATCACATCTTTAAGGAATTTAGTCGAATCCACTCATCTTTTCTCATTTACTTG